CCCCAAAACCCCAAAACCCCAAAACCCCAAAACCCCATGAAGTTAATTTGAATGGATTTTTTAGGATTTGAAATAAATTAAATATCAGAAATGTCTTAAATGATGCAAATGAGACAGAAACCTCATACAGTAATAATCTGATTAATTATATTTTAGGAGTAATCTAACAAAAAGAGGGAAAATACTCAGTAAGTGGAAGAATTAAAATCGTATGAGTAAGAAAAACCAAGATAAGAAGAGAATAAAATTGAAGTAAATATTAATTACAAACTCATAGTTAGATCTAGAATCAAATTCAAGAGCACTAGATACAGTTTTAAGATAATCCCAATAATGAAATTTAAGTTGAGTCCAATGAGAACCAGCCATTGATTGATAAAGGTTAATCTTAATTTGATCCTCTGGAGTACAGATATCCATCATTACATACCCCAGCTTCAGTCTACCAAAAATGGGAGAGGCATTAGAATGACTAAGGATAAGTTTTGATAAACGATTCAAGCATTGATATCTCGATTGCTTCAATGAACATCAATGAACAACAAGACAAAAGTACAAGTGATGTCAAAATTCTGACTAAAGAGGATATACTTCGCAGAGAACTTGATTAGCATCATGAAAAGATGAGAAAACAGGCTGAAGAATTGAGAAATGTAATCCAGCCTAGGACTGTAGGTGTTACTGTAGTGGCGCAACAGGATGTTGAGACTACTGAATCTCTTTCAGACTTCTCATAAATGGCTACTAATTATTTGCATAAAGTATCACCAAATGATACTCTGGAGAGAATATGCTTAATATATAACAAGAGCAAGAACGCTATTAGAAAGGCTAATGATTTTATGGGAGATGAGATTTACTTCTTTAAGGAACTAATTATTCCAGATTGTGGTAATATCTATAAATATATACAAATAATATTTTAGAGGGCCCACTCTACGAAAATGAAGCTCCTAAATATACTGAAGAGCAGAGAAGAAAAGAGTAAATATCTAAATACAACTTCTTAAATATATATAGCTGTTTGGAGATTATGAGTAGAACACTGATGGATAAGTACAGGGATTAGAAATCTTATAAGGCTGAGGCCTAGTACTATTTGGACTTAACCAACTATGACCTAAGAAAAGCTTTTGATGAATTTGATGCTGATTTGAAATTTGAGTAGCAGCAGAGAAAACTCAACAAGAAAAAGAAAGGAGGGTTCTTCGGCTTGTTTAAGAAAAATAGATGAGTCATTCTATTCCCATTCACTTCATTATTCACTTAATGATTGATTATCGAATGTTTTAAGGATTAAAAATTACTGAATAAGTCTATCTCAGAAATAAATTAATAGTTATTTCAAATGAATAGCTTAATCATTATAGGTATGGGGGTTTTGGGGTTTTGGGG